GCTGTGCACTTTCTCACTCCAGAAATAAAAAAAATCACAACACAACAACTCTGAAATTGAAGGAAAGTCAAACTTCTCACCTCAAGATTGTTGGGAAGGTATTTTTTTTCTGAATCCCAAGGAGGTAACTCAGCAAACATCACCATTAAATGATCAATAAACCTAAAAGCCAAAATACACTTGGTCAGCTTAGACAAAGTTCTCAGCTTCAATAACTTGTATGCTTACATTTGAATGATGGCAAAAATACATTAGCAAATTAAACAAGAGACTTCAAAGTAAGTTTAGACCAGCAATAGTTCCTTCCCTTTAAACTCATCACCTTCCCAATGAATCCAAGGCCCTGTTGTAACTCAGGTTATTGGCTTCAAATTTAAGCAGTACAACAACAAATTATTTTTAACTTTACATTTTCACACTGAAAAATATGTCAAAATAAACACCCTGCATTTTGTCTAGAATGGATTTTCCTTCAACATAGTCCCATGCTTCACCAGATCAGATTGATGAGAATATGTCTGTGTGTCAAAGGCTTCTTTATTTTGGTACTTGAGGAGTGCTGCAGGCCAGTTTGTTCTAAAAATCTATTTCTACTTCCTTTAGTCACAAAAAGACACAGTTAACACTACCATGAAAGTACTACAACTTCACTAACCTGCTTGCACTGTAAGTCCTAAACTTATTAATAGATCTGAGAAACTTGTCTACCAACAAACAAAAAGTTACAAATTCCAAGCCTGTTTAACTTTATAAGATCAGAAATTGAAGTTAACATCAAGGAGAGTGGAATTCCCAGCTTGCCAGTCACTCACAGCCTGAAAGCTCTGCAGAACTTCAGTCAGATCTGCTGAAAGCCCTGAGGAGAACTTTGGGGTCACTGCTGGTTATAAGGGGCTCTCTTTGGAAGCTTTTCATAATTTTTAAGTTTAACCTTTAATTTCCAAGACACCAGGGCTTTGAAATGACACCTTAATGAATCTCTAAAATCCACATGTGTGGATGGGTCACAGGTAGCCCTGGCCACTAATTAATTACTGGTCTGAGCTTGCTCTGCAAGCCCCTTTAGCCATTCTGGCTAAATGTGTTTGTCTGCACTACCAATTTATGTAAATCACACAATAATTCAGGTTAGGGAGGACCTCAGGAGGTCATCTAGTGCAGCCTCCTGCTCAAAAGCAGGGTCAGCTGAGTGATCAGAAATATGACACTGCTCCAACAGCATGGCAGTGTTTCCCCTGCTGCCTGTTCTCATTTGCTCAAACAGCTCCTCTATGCAAGAATGCAGCTGGCAGTGCATTTACCTGGAGTTCTCATGAAAAGCCACAGTGAAATCTGTCTGCTCATGCTCAGGGTACAGGAAGAGGACAGGCCAGTTCAGGTTGCCATCAGCATCTAAGTGCACCTTTGCCCCTGTGGCACTGTCAGAGTGGAACCCATCTAAGGATATCTCAGCCAGGCCATCTGACACTTCCTCTTCTTCATCTGAAGGCTCAAGAACAAGCTTGATATTTCTTTCCTGGAGGATAGGGAGGGAAAAAACCAAAAATCAACTAAAAATCTAACAGTTATGGTGAGAAGAACAAGAACAAAAAATTAGCAATTAGTAAAAGGTCAAATTATGTTGTTCTTGTTAATGAGTCAGGTCTTATACATGCCATCCAAAGCTTTCCCACAGTATCAGACCCAGGTGACTGGACCAGAATCCAGAACCTCAGCCAGATATCCAGACTCCTCCTAAACAAATGAGGAGAGGTGGGAATCCAGAGGGGCTCACACGTGGAGAGATGAGCCTGAGAAAACATGTGGAAAGGGATTCATCTAAAATCCTTTTCTGTGGGGCCTGCCAGGCATCACTACAGGGTGCAACTACACGCACCAGCTCCTGAGAACATCTACTCCTTCAGAGAACTGAAGAAAACTCATTCTTTTCCTGGAAAGACAACAGCAGAAGAGATCTGACTGTATGTAAGAGTCCAAAATATTTTAATGTAGTTTAAACATTCACCGAGGAAGGAGAGGATCCAGAACTGATTCCCTCTCTACCCTACTGGTTATCTTCTATTCTTCCACAGAATTAATGTCTGTGGGCAGCAAAGAAAGCCAGGTTCGTTGGGTTGATGTGATGCTACAGCCCAGCAGCCAGAGCACTCACAAAGCTCAGCCCATCTCCTAACACTGGGTCTGTATTTTGCATTAGTTGTTACCTGAAATACAGAAAGCTGTGAGGTGGGGCTAGAGCCATGCAGATCTGGAGAATCATGGCTTTAACTCAATGTTTTTTGCTTTAGCCCTCAAAAGCCAATGTATGAGAACCAGCTTCTAAAGAAAAACGAGAGAGCTCCTAAAAAAACCCCAAACCACACAAAACCAGCCCCTCTCTGCAACTCACCTTTATTGCTGCAAGCAAAATTTCCTTTTGACACTGCTCTTTGCTCTCCATCACCTTTGCTTTCCTGGCATCCCGCTCCTGAATTCGCTACAGGTGAGAAAAGGATGCACAGTGGTCACACTGAGCAGGTCACTGCTCTTCCCTGACAAGGGTGGAAAAATCAGTTTGGGTCCCCAGGAAGCTCCCCTCCAGCTCCTTCCCCTGCACATCTCAACACACAAAAAAAGAAATTCCCACTCGAACCTGTCTGGGGACATCACACTACACAGAAACCTGGATGGAGCACCCTCCCTCCAAGGATCCCAAAGAGACAAGCACTGGAGATGCCAAGCTGCCTTCATATTTACCTTTAATTTGTCAGCTTTAGCTCTTATTTCCACAAACTTTTTCTCTTTTGAGTCTATTTGCATGCCTTCCTCACACCATGCTATTGCTTCCAAGAAATTCTTTAGCTCCATGTGACAGAGAGCTCCTGGAAGTATTAATATTGTAAGTTTCTAGTGTTGGAGTCAGTGTACAACTACTACACAAGGGGTGATTATAAAGACAGCATTAGGCCTGGTGCTTCTGCACTAAAACTTTTTTGTCTTGCGGGGTCATCTTCAACCAGAAACTTCCAGCAGATTAGTTGAGAAGGAAATTTAAAAATTTCATCAGTTCTTATATCACTTAGCCACAGAAAGCAGTAGAATTATGCTAAAAGTGTCTGTTACAAACAAGATTTTATCATTGTTATTAACACTTCAGTATTTGTCTTGTTAGGAAAAATAAAACGGGGATTTCTACGGAGTGGGAAAAAAGAACAGACCCCAAAAACAGTATTGTGGAAAACAGGAAAAGTTATGCTGTACTCTACAGAAACAGGTCCAGTGCCTCTGATAGATATAGGAGATGAAGAACAAAAGGATATTTTGATTGAAAATGCAAAGCAAAAGGCAGAGCTCTGTTTTGGGGAGAAACAGCAATAACAAGTGAAGAGATCTCTTCCAGTAACTGCTTTCCCTTTCTGAAATGAATTCTGTCCAGAAACAAAGTATGACGCCCACAGTAATTTAAGCTTTATAAACACAATTATTACACACCCAGAAACATGCAAGGAAGCAAGGCAACAAGTAACAACGGTCTGCTTCAGGGCTGGCAACAATGACAGCACAGTCAGTAAAGTTAACATCAGCCAAGTGTTTGGAAAGGACGCCCCTGGTGCTCCATGCAGCAACACCAGCTTTAACTCTCACCTCTTATGATGGCTTTGAGATGGGTGGGCTTCAGCTTTTTGGCTTGGATGGCGTCATTTAGAGCAGAACGGTAGTTACCTGTAAAGCAAGTAAAAGTGCTCAGAACCTTTCCCTTGTGTTTAAAATCCAACCAGATACCAAGGTGACAAAACGGTTTATGCAGGGAGCCTGTAATACACTGTTTCCACCATCACAGCGAGGCGAGAGGAAGGTAAAAAAAAAGAGCAAACTAAGAACAAGAAGTGAAAGGACAGGGATCAATCATTCAGGTGAGAGGTAAATAACATGGTGTGAGCAGACCACCTCCCTGCTGCAACACACAGCAGCATTAAAAGGCCCAGAACACCTTCCCTGCTGCATGGACACTGTTGGGTGGATGGCAGTAGCTGTAAGAGAGTCACAGGATTATTAAGGTTGGTAAACACCTCCAAGATCATCAAGTAATGAGGGTAGATTTACACTAGATATAAGGAAGAAATTTTTCACAATGAGAGTGGCGAGGCACTGGCAGAAGTTGTGCAGAGAGGTAGCAGGAGCCCCATCCCTGGAAACATTCAAGCTCAGGCTGGACAAGGCTCTGAACAAATTTGTTTAGCTGAAGATGTCACTGCTCTTTGCAGAGGGGTTGGATCAGATGACCTTTAAGGGTCCCTTCCAACCCAAACTAGTCTATGATTCTAAAAAAAACCACAGTTTTTGCCCTGTCCTGGAGCCAAGGCTCGAGCAGCAGGTGACAGCTGGAAGGAACCGAGAACAAACCCTGCACACAGCCATGTGCTGAAGCGAGCCGGGTCTTCAGGGCCCAAGGAGCCTCTTATGGGTAAGCTACTAACTCTGCATATCACAAAACCGAAACGAACAAAAAGGAAACCCCAGACGGGGAGCAAAGGCAGCCCTGGAGCGCGGTCTGTCGGAGGAAGGTCCCTTACCCAAGTGGAAATGTGCAGCCGCTCGGTTCGTGAGCAGCACCGCGTCCAGCTCCGCATCCCCGCACCGCCTCCGCAGCCCCTCCGAGTAGGCGGCCACGGCTCTCCCGTAGTCCTTCTCCTTGAAGTACTCGTTCCCTTCGTTCTTGTACATGGTGGCCAGCTCTGCGGGGGTGCAGCGGGGTCAGGGTGGGGCAGGGACAGCCCGAGCCCCGGCCCGGCCCGGTGCGCACCTGCGGGGCTGCGATCCTCGTCGAACAGCAGCGACTGCAGGCAGGCGAGCTCGGGCTGCCGCGCCGAGTCGATCTCGGCCGGGCAGCGCTTCATGAACATGGGGATGGCCTCCAGCTCCTGCGGACGGACAGACGGACACACGCACAGCGCCCTGAGCCCGGCCCGTCCAGCCCCGCGCCCGGCCCCGCCGCCTCACCTGCTCCCAGGTGTCGGGGTTCAGCGCTCCCCGGTACCGCGGCGGCTCCGGCGCTCCGGCCATGCCGTCCTGCTGCTCGGGCTCCGCCATGCTCC